ACAGTGCTTTAGAGACCTCTTTAAGCAGTTTACAGAGTCAGTGTATTGTCCCAAACAATCTGGGTCCTTCACTGCATAGTGAAGCTTTCCTTCACTATGCAGACCTACAAAGTTTGTAAATGAAAAGATTGGTCATAAAATTACTTTTTTCATCACTGTCATAATTGTGAATGAATGCAAGACTTCTAAGGACAGCAATGGCAGACTGAACATGGCTCCGCTTTTTTGCCAGTTCATAGATTAGCTTCTCAGAATTCTGAAGATATATCCAGCAGAAGATAACAGAAGAACAATTGATTTTATTGGATTAAAACAGAGACTGAAATTGACTTGAATGTGGATTTAGAGTTTTAAAAATATGATGGATTACGAAAATGACATGGAAAAAGATGCCAGGATGGATTTACAAATGAAGTCAGCTGGTGTCTTTATGATTAAAGGAGACATAGAAATAATAAATTAGAAGAGTGACTTGGAAATCTTGGATTTACAAAAGGAATGTGTGAAATCAGAGAAACTGTTAAGATATAAGAGAAATTATTCAAATTGTTCCTGAAAGAAATAAGAAGAGAAAAAAATAAGAAGAAATTAGCTTGTGGGATACTGCTCGATAGGCTTAAAAATTAAGCTTTTTAAAAATAAACACAAGCTCTGCAAAGTGAATCTATTTGATCAGAGTTAAAATATATATGTTGTGGTTCCTGGTAGCTATTAATGAGATTTCTTTTTGGCCAGCTGAATGACAAGCTTTAAAAATCTGTTTACAAATGGGGAGATATTTATTTTCCTTTATTTCTTTGAGAAAGTGATAGGTTTAGATTATAAAATGGGTATTTTTTCTTAAAATTAAAACTTATTTGTTAACATTTTGGCTAGCTCTTAGTAGACTTTTGCTGATTAGCAGTGAATTAGTTTTTTATGATTTATTATCAATAAAGGATGAGAAGAGTTTTGTATTGAAGTACTAGAGTAATACCAGATTACTGAAAATGTTTATACTTGTCGGGGAGAGTTTACTTTACTTTTGGGTTTTTTTCTTTCCTTTTTATATTTTCCTTAAGTTTGTATTAGTGTTTTCTCTTTGTATTTGTAACTTTTATCACAATTATTGTTTAAAAAAAAGTTAAACAGTCACGTAGCAAAGCAGTCACTAAACAAGGACTACCCATACTGCCTAGAAGTCATATGGCATGGCTGAAGGGAAAAAATGCTCATCACACACTTAAAGGAAGGGAGGGAGGGAAGATTTCCCATGATCACTGCCAGTTTCACATAAGGAAACTCAATGGGGAAGCAAACAGGAAATGAGAAGTTGCTCCTGTTTCCACTGATATAGTTGCTTCCCTGTAATCTTTCTGTTTCTCTGTCTACATATGGAAAAATCTCTGAAATGATGACACAGTGGGTCGCAGGTTGTCTTGTCTAGATTAAAATCCATCTCATCAGGGGTGGTATTCACTTACCTTCGCTACCGGTTTGCAAATGTGAGCGCACTGGCCTTCTCCACACATGTGCAGAGCCTTCTGCACATGCGCAGAGGATCAAAAATGGGATGTGATGATGTCTGGGCGGGTGGGCGGAGCCTCCCACCGCCAGCGCTACTGGATCGCACGATCCGGATAGAGCCAGCTGAATTTTACCACTGCATCTCATACATTATTGCAAACATCATTGCAACAATTGGAGATTTAACCCAGTTCATCTTTACTTTACATACATAGTGATGCTCAATACAAACATACTTCCTGCCTACGTATTTAGATAGGAAGTAATATTGGCTACATATAGAATAATAAGAGACTCTTCTTCAAAGCACTATAGATTAATGTCTTATAAGGCATTAAATTAAATATATGCAAAACTGTCATTGCTGCATTTACTTGGTAATCACCAAAAATACACGAGGGCAAACTCTTAGCAGTGTTTCCCATTATACTTAGTAAGACAGTGCCATACTGTGGACAGTCCTGTTTTCATGCTGTTACACTCTGCAGTCTCTTGCAGGTACAGTAAGCATGTTTTCTGACCCAGTTTCCTCACCAATCTCTACTTAGCAGTATGCTAAAGATGTTTCTAGCATGCCAATTGGGGGCTGCAGCCTGCAGTGCAGTTCATTGTAGCACATTCACAGTTCTGATTTGTTAAAAAAAAAATCGGTGGAAAACTACTGGATCTGTTATGTCTGTATGAGCTAAAGCCACGTTCATAAATCTGTTTCATATCTTTACCTGTTTGTGCTCTCAGCAAACAGAACAATTTTTAAAGCTATGTTTGTGATAAAGAGTCTGTTAAGAAGGAATTCGGGTTTCTCTCTTCTGTTCATTGATAGTGAAGACAAGAACTCCCTGAGTCCATAATGAATATAGAAAGTCTATATATACTTCTTAAAATGCCAGGTTTTTGAGATGTAAAAAAAAAAAAAAAAATCAGACCACGGTAAATCGCTTCAGAATATAATTTAACATATAAGCTGTACAATTCAATTGAAAAACAAACTGAAATCTTTTAGAGGGGAAAAATAACAATTAAAAACCAGAATGATGCGGCTGCATAAGTGTTCACCCCTTTATATGTAGGGATGTTGCTATGTTCAGAATTAACCAATCACATTCAAACGGATATTAAATAGTAGTCAGTACACATCTGTCATCAGTTAAAGTGACTGATCAAGACCAATTAAAATTCAGCTGTTCTAGTAAAGTTTTCTTTTGATATTTACTCAGTTGCCTCTAACAGCAAAAGCCACTGTCTGAAAAGAGCTTACAAAGCATCAAAGGAGTCTCATTGTTGGAAAGTATCAGTCAGGAGAAGGGTACAAAACACTTTCCAAGGCATTGGATATATCATGGAATACAGTGAAGTCAGTCATCAAGTGGAGAAAACACGGCACTATAGTGACATTACCAAGAATTTGATGTCCCTTCAAAATTGACGAAAAAAAACACAAAAACTGGTCCAAGAGGCTGCCAAGAGAGCTACAGCAATATTAAAGGAGCTGCAGGAATTTCTGGCAAGAATTAATAAAAACAGTAATTTTTTGACGGACAAACTCAAACAGAAAAAAAATACCACTTTGATGAAACAACGAGACTACAAGTAGTTCTTGATTTACGACTACAATTGAACCCAAAATTTCTGTAGTTAAATGAAACAGTTGTGAGTTTTGTCCCATTTTACAACCTTTCCTGCCACAGTTATTAAGTGAATCATTGCAGTTGTTAAATTATTAACATGGTTGTTAAGTAAAACTGGCTTCTACATTGATTTTGCTTGCCAGAAGGTCGCAAAAGGCGATCACATGACCCTGGGACTCTGCCACCATCATAAATATGAACCAATTGCCAACCATTCAAATTTTGGTTGTGTATCCTTGGGGATATTGCAATGGTTGTAAGCAGTGGTGGTTTTCAAATTTTTTTACTACCGGTTCTGTGGGTGTGGCTTGGTGGGCATGAAGGGGAAGGTTACTGCAAAATCCCCATTTCCTCCCAATCAGCTGGGACTCAGGAGGCAGAAAAGAGATGGGGGCGGAGCCAGTCAGAACTTTTACTACCGGTTCTCCAAACTACTCAAAATTTCCGCTACTGGTTCTCCAGAACTAGTCAGAACCCGCTGAAACCCACCTCTGGTTGTAAGTGTGAAAACTGGTCATAAGTCACTCTTTCAATGCCATTGTAATTTTGAACAGTCACTAAGCGAATGGTTGAAAGTCAAGGACTACCTGTACTGTATCACAAAAATGGAAAGACTGTGTTATACCCACACTAGAGAAATGGTTGGTGAAGATATGGAACTATCAGAGATGGCAAAGTTAACTTGTTTGCTTAGAGAAAGACCAGCTACTACATTTATTAGTGACTGGAAACCCCTTATGGACATTTTGCTGAAAAAAGGAAAAAATGAACTTCTAATTTGGGGGTATGATGATTAGGAAAGGCAGTTTATGGAAGAAAAAAAAATATGATGAAACCTTAGAAAAAGAGGGTAAAATATAAATGCATTTATAACTGCTGTCAGAAAGACCGAAAACCACTTCTTTATGCTCTTTTCTTTTTCTATTTTCTTCTTCCTTACTTATTCACTATTGTTTCTCATGTTCTATTATCTTATCTTCTATTTATCAATGCATCCAAGAGAAAAAAGGCAATTTGCAAGTAGATTTGGTATCTAGATGACCTAAGAGTTTTCTTTATATGAAGTTGATATTCTTACAGATCTGGAATGGAGCTCTATAATTCAAGCTGCTATGGGTCTCCTAAACTAGTGCTTATCTAATACGCTGGGACTGCAGTCGATTGTAAGGGTGAACAAACAAGGGCACAGCAGAGACTGTAATTTTGAAACCGAGTCAGAAGTACCCTTTTTTGGGGGGGTGAGGGGGGGGTCTGTCATAACTTCAAATGGTCCCTAAGTTAAGGACTACTTGAATAGTTGTAATTAATAATATACTAAAATAACAAACAAGCAACTTCAAACAAAATTCAACACTTTTTAGAACACAAAGACATGCAAATGTTCTGCTGAAAATTTGTATTTCTGTTAATTAGAAGAGGGTTTTCTTTTCCTGTTTGTTTTTCAGAGAGAGTACTTCTACAATTAACTTTAGTATGAAATCCGGCATATTAGGGTGATAATAATGAACGGAGGTCATTAAAGCCAGTCTTCCAGAATTCAAATATTTTGTACAATTTAACTTACTTATATTCTTTAAAAAAATTCTCTACGAAAAGTGTGTATTAAGAAACTTTCGTGTCGTTAAAAAAAGCAAATATAGGGAAAGCTGCAGTCAGACAATTTTGAAAGAGTAGTATAAAAAATCAGAGTTGGATTGTCTTTCAGTTTTCACAAACTAAATAACTGGCAGAATATTAGATATAATAAGTAAATGCATGCAATGTTGACTTAATGGATTGAGACAGGACAGCATTCCCTGTGCCAGAGGCACCATTCAAATTAATAAAAGAAAGTCTAAGTTGACAACACGCATAGTTTTCCCTTACCTCAGATGCACCAGAGAGTCTGGGTACTGTAGCAGGAGCATAAGATGACTCTTTCAAATGATGCTCTGTTGATCCCTTTCTGTCTTTGCTCTGTCCTTCGCATGGCATCTCACTTCTTCCAAGTTGACCATAGTCTCCTCTACCCCACGTGAAGACTTTCTCTGTCTCTAAATATCAGTGACATAATTGCAGTGTTAGTTCTTGAACTTAAGATAAAACCATAATAAAACATGATTAAGCTGGGCAAGGTTGGAATACGTCACATAAAGCTTTTCTTTTCATTAAATATTTCCTTCTCTTCAGTTTACATATTTTCCACACCAATGGATTCAGGAGTTGAATTCATAAACAGCACTAATGAGGTTACCTGGTTTTGGCTTAGTACACTTTCTATGAATTCAACCATGGTGATTTGCTGAGCATGATTCCTTTTGCTTGTTTGTTACATTGATATTCTACGTTTCTTCCAGGCAAGATATATTGTATATAAACTCTTTAAATTTTATTCTCACCCCAATTTTGATGGGTAGGATATACTGAGAAATAATGACTGCTCCCAAAGCATCTCAGGAACTTCCCTGTCCCTAATCTAGCAATATAACTATGCAAACATTTTGGTTTGTGACTTAACACAGAGGTGGTAAGTTATGTACTGTACCTTGTACCTACTTTGGAGTTTTCAGACTGGTCAACTTTCATATGCCTTGCAGCTTCGCAACCCCCCCCCCCCCCAAAAAAAGAGAAGAGGAACTACCCTCCTAGCAGAACAAAATATGTTCATTTCTGCCTTAGTACAATGTGTGAACTTAGTTTGTTAGAATTTAGTCCAACAAGTTTAGCATGATCAATGAAATCAACCACAAACTGGAATGTAAAAACAGGTGTATGTTGAAATAACAAACACATCACTTTCAAGATGAAGAAATGCCTAAACCCAAAGTTACCACCCAAAAATCATGACACTAAAATAGAGACTTGCTTTCCAGTTTCCTTGATTCTTGACAATCTACAGTATCTGTCATTTCAGCCCTCAGGAATCATCAAGAGCAGTTCCCAGGTTTGTCAATATTTTAGCTTACTTCTCACCAGTTTTCTCCTAATCTCCTCACCCTGAGAAGAAATAAATTAAGAAACTCTCCTACATATGAATGAAATACTCAATTTACATTTTTTCCAATTCCACCTGGAAGTCACAAGTCTACCACATTGACCATAGCTTTGTCCCATTTAAAATCCATAATACTTTGCCCTTGAAACTTTTAATAGTAATAACTAAATGCTGAGTGCAATCTAATTTTAGTGATTTAATCATAAATATATCAAGTCAATTCTTTGACTTGACCACTGGCAAAAATGGTCTACTAGACCTACTAAGGAGATTTTATATGAAGAAAGTAAGTTGTTCTATTTACAAAGCAAGTTGGTTCTATCTATATTCTTATTTTATATTGTGAACAGTTTCTTAGTTACACATGACTGTTCCTTGCTATTATTATTTAGCTTACATTGGCATTAATCCATTCCATGAGGAAGGCAGCTGCTCCCTGAGCAATAAACGTAAATCCCTCTTGCATTTAGAATGTGAATACCCATTCTTAATTTACACTTTGAAAAGTACTCATTCTTAAAACTTGCATTGCATATTACAATTCCTTTTATTACCACCTCCAATTCTACTTCAACTTGTTTTACACTGTATGTACATTTATATGAAACATACTAAATTCTATACACATGCCACCAGGTGTAAGTCTTCACTGTCTGTGCTAGTTCAATGTTTAAGAAAATGTTACATATGAAGATAATACTTTTATTCTTCTTCTATGTTTAGTATTATTCTAAGTATTATGTAATAGCAAATTATTTAATTCTTTTGCTATGTAATACTAATTAAATAGTACTCTCCTAAATTAATTTGGACAACCTGAAGCTCTCTTTTGGATTCCAATCATTACAGCTGCTTTTTATTAGCCATGTTGTGTGGAGACAGATGGCAGTTTAAATCCAAACATCTTTGACAGAATGGAAAAGGTAAACACTGACTGCCATCCTGTTGGGTTACTGCTCAGTCATACAAACTGTAATCATAACTTGAATCTGAAAAAAAGAACAGATAAAGGGCTTCATAGGCAGAAAGTCATGTGTGATTTGGGGGTGGGGGGGAGATAAAAGTGGCTAGGAAGGAAAGACAGTGTCAGGGTTCCAAGTAACACCCCTAACAAAAGAAGATTCTGAGGCTAGAAGTTCCTCAAAGTTCCATTTTATTAGAGATGTCATATTGGCACATGTGGGAAAACCGGAATCTGAAAGCTTCCAGATTTTCCCCACCCAAAAGAAAGTCCAAGTCCCTGCCCCAGCACCCACATATCCATCACATGGTCTAATCAACACACCGTCCCAACTGGAGATACCTCCCAGTCACACCACTCCAGATGCAGGGCATGATGTCCTTGGCTCTCAGAGAAAAGAATGTTATTATGGCTAGATATCTCTCCAACTCCATATAATCCCCCCCTCCCAGTTTCCCACAGCACAAATGTGGCAGCCCTGAAGATCCAAAGTAAACGATGGCTTCCAGGACTGACAGACAGTAATACACTATTACAAGTAGCTAAAGAGATACATGAGCCATGGTGGTGCAGTGGATAGAATGCAGCACTGCAAGCTACTTCTGCTGACTGCTGACTGCAATTCGGCAGTTTGAGTCTCACCGGCTCAAGGTTGACTCAGCCTTCCATCCTTCTGAGGTTGGTAAAATGAGGACCCAGATTGTTGGGGGCAAGAGGCTGACTCTGTAAACTGCTTAGAATGGGCTGTAAAGCACTGTGAAGCGGAATAAAAGTCTAAGTGCTATTGCTACATGTCCCAGAATGATTTATGATGGACACATAGGATCGCTATGCAAAAAGGACAACAGAATGTGAGCTCTATCTACCCTCCACAGATATCCAAAGGGAGAAGAACAGACACCAAAAAAGAGATTCAAGTTTTGCTCACCGTAAGAGGTTGCCAGTTAAGTGTAGCATTCAATTAAGTATTTAGGGAATTTAGTAGCAGTTACATTTTTGGATAATGACATTGTTATTTTAGCAGGAACTATAGTAGCACAGAAAGACACAATCTCTGAACTGTGCAGTAATTAGGTCATAAAATAATTTGCACTTTCCTTTGCCTTTTCTTTATTGTACAAAACTGCTTTAATTGGTTTTCAGAGTGAAATGTTGTTAATTGCTGCCCAGTATCACATGTAAATGGGATGGATGGATGGATGGATGGAAGGAAGGAAGGAAGGAAAGTTTTTTTTAAAAAAAAATATTAAAACTACTGTGAGAAGTCTCACCTTCCTTCTGCCACTGACATAAAATGCACATTCACATGTATTTGGCAAAAACTGTAAAGAAGGAACTATTTACACTTACACCTTTTGTGGCCTACATTTAAAATAGAAACACCATGCTTTTTCTAAAGGTCTTACCAAAAAAATAAATTAGTTACAAGCTATTCCATAAAACTGAATTACAAATTATATACTGTTAGCAATTACAGCTAGAAATATAGCTTGACAGTTTGAACATGTTTAATGAGCGTATTTGAAAAGAATTCAGGAAAGCTTTGACAGCCCATACTCTGTTAAATGTCACCTCAGATGTTTGCAGAGCTTCTGAGATTCAGAGTAAAGTCACAGAATAGCTCCAATAACACAGAATATGAATTGTTACTTGAAATATAATAAACTTCCTAAATAGACAGCATTTCTACAATAAAGCTATAATAGCATGTAGACCATCAGCAGACCTAAATGTTCAAGTCCACATGGGTTTGTAAGTCAATCTTTCTCTCCCCTCTCTTTTAATTAATTTTCTAAAAATGCTTCTCATCCACATGAGAAATGGGGCTCAGAGACATTTTTGGAAATAGAGATTATGCCTCAGGCTGATGTGTTGCTTTGTGGTATACTATGTTTCTTGTTTTTTTAATTGAATGACTTGATTTATAAAAAAAATGAACAAGGCAAAGAATTTGGAAGTACCAAGGAACGAATACCATTGTGTCTGGCACAAAGGACCAGGCTCATATGTTAAGCTGCAGCACAGAAGATTTATTCAAGCCTAACACAAGAATCCAGTCAACTAACAGTCAGCACTAAATTGAGATTAGAAAAGGGTCAACGGAATTTAAGGGGAAGCTGGACATGGATTGTTTATGGCAACATAAAGACTCTAAGCTGATAATGTGTTTAACTCCACATTCCATTCTCTTACACGTTGTCCCCATATCCCCAGATCACATCATCCTATACAATGGATTGTACAAACCACAGCCATTAAGTGACAGATGCTTAACCCCAGCATCACCTTCTATCAGAGCAACAAAGATGAATTTCCAGGGCCAGTTAATGCAGGACCATCTTTTCCTGAAGGTATTTGCCAGTCCTTACTACATTAGATAGGATGGGTATGCTCCAGATCCCCTTTCTTAAATATTGCTACCTGATGGCCATGTCTTCTCAATGATGGCCCCAGCGCTTTGGAATAGCTTTCTATTGAGACCTCAGGGCTCTCTACTCTTTTAACCTTCCAAAAGGCTATGACGCTCTGGCTCTTTCCCCAAATATTGAGCTAGGATGGGGATTAAGTGCAAGGTTACTTGGTTTGGTACCTGGAGGGAAAGGATACCTTTCTTTTTAACTGTGTTTTATGATTTGTTGTAAACTACTCAAGTTGTTGCATTAATAACACAGCAATATATGTCAAGGAAGGGTGGGTGGGTGAGTGGGAGGGAGGGAGGGAGGGAGGAAGGAAGGAAGGAAGGAAGGAAGGAAGGAAGGAAGAAAGAAAGAAAGAAAGAAAGAAAGAAAGAAAGAAAGAAAGAAAGAAAGAAAGAAAGAAAGAGAAAGAAAGAAAGAAAGAAAGAAAGAAAGAAAGAGTTTCAACCTTCATGTATGGACTAGTTATTTCAAAGTACCTGAAAATATTTATTACTTTTTTATCTCACCAGACTTCATTTATATTTTAGGCCTGATAAAAATCCTAGATTAGATAGAATTTGATTCAGGCTCTCCCTAGTTTAAAACTTTAACCATAAGACAACACTACTTTTAAAGGTTTTTCAACTAAAAAGAGCACTAAATGTAAGATTGACCCTCTCACATCCCTCCAATTATCATTTTGGCCATTAACCATCTTCCTGGTATTTTCTGACATCCTATTCCCAGTTATGGGAGAGAAGACATAAAATAAATGATGAGGTCTTCCAAAATTTCACATGTTATTTTGCCAGCACTAACTTCTCTATCATTTCTTACCAAAGACCTTGGATCCCTGATTCTTCATATTTCACCTAGGACCTCAAACAAAATCAGACTGCTGAAGAACAACAACAAAGATCTTGTAGGATACATTCAACAACAAAATAAATCCTATTTAGTATTTCTTTAAGACATCACAGTGTACCTTTATAATACTACACGTGAACAGAAGTGTTTTTCAGAAGCTTTTAGTACATGGCCCCAATCCACCACAGAAGCCTACTGAGTGGGACAACATATTTCCTTTCTCCCGCAGAACCTATCTGGAGCTACGCAACTCAGCTTATAATTTCAAGGTTCTGGTATCACTTTTAAAGCGCTCCATGGCATCAGGCCTAGCTATCTTCGAGACTGCCTGCTGTTACCGACGACCTCCCATCGTCCCGTGTGCTCCCACAGAGAGGGCCTCCTCAGGGTGCCATCAGCCAATAAATGTAGGCTGGTGACCCCCAGGGGAAGGGCCTTCTCTGTGGGGGCACCTACCCTCTGGAATCAGTTGCCCCCAGAGATAAGGAGAATCCAAAACCTTAGTGCCTTCCGCCGTGCCCTTAAAACCCACTTTTTCCAGCAAGCCGGGCTGGCTTAAGAAGAAATTTTAAATGTTTTAATTAGTTTGTATTTTTAATTTTGGGCCAAATTTATATATATTTTAATTGTTTTTTTTATATTTGTATTTTATGTTTTTTAATTCTGGCTGTACACCGCCCTGAGTCCTCAGGGAGAAGGGCGGTATATAAATTTAAAATAAAATAAAATAAATAAAATAAAATTTTATGGTATATTCCTTCTCTAGGTCCAATTGAACAGGGAGTGGGGAAGAGCCTTGGTGGCACAGCAGACTAAAGTGCTGTTACGAAGCACCAGCTGCCTGCAATTACTGCAAGTTCAAATCTCACCAGGCTCAAGGTTGACTCAGCCTTCCATCCTTTTGAGGTAGGTAAAATGAGGACCCGGATTGTGGGGGCAATAAGCTGGCTTTGTATAAAAAGAACACCGCTTAGGGGGGGCCGAAAGCCCTACTAAGCAGGTATATACAAAAGTATGAAGGCTATTGCTTAACGCATTGTAAGCCTCCCTGAGTCTCCGGAGAAGGGTGGCATATAAATCGAATAAATAAATAAATAAATAAATGACATTGTAAGCATTTTTTTTCCATTTCCTTCAATCCATTTACACAAGAAAGTAATGTACTGAGAATTATTTTCCCATTTTAAAAATGCATAACAAACAGACCTGTGAATTTATTCAGAACAACACAAAGATAAATAAACTCCCTTAATTAAGACTCCATTTGTTATTGGCTACCAGCATAAGGAGGAAGGCAGTTATTCTGAACCAAGGATGACTCACCTTTTAAAGGCTTAAGACTTTGTTCTCTCCTTTCTTCTTCAACACATTTCTGCTATATTTAGAACTTCCTTTAGTCAAACCATTTCAATGGGATTCTTACATAACCTAATTTACATCTGCAACATTATAGAATCTACTCCCATTCTCACAAAAATATCAATTATAAAAAGAGTGACTTTCAGTTTTGGCTTTACATTCTTTTTAATAAAACATGCTGCAAAGATGGGCTTTACACAATATTGCTTTCATTCCCAAATCCTTAGAAGCAACAAGGCATGCAAGCAAACAAGAAAAAGAAAATGATCCAGTAACATGAGATCATTTCCCTGACTTATGGGGTAGATGATGTTTGCAGGTGGGAGAAGCTAACAAAACATCTGCCAATTTCACCTTTGTCTGGTCTACTAAATTGAAGCCCCAGTGCAATCAAATTATTATTTCTCTCACACAACTCATAATCTCACTAATGAAGAAATGGAGCCATAGTATCTTATTTAAAGAAAAAAGTTATATTGTATCTAAGACAGAAAATCAACAGCTACTGTGGAAAGCTACAATGAATACCATTTCTGTCCAATATTGATGGCATATTAGGAATATAGACCTACTATTAGAGTCGTATGAAAACCTGATAATCCTTATAATGCATCATTTGAGTTAATTAAACATTAGGGTTACAAACAGGTGACTTTTAGTAGAATATACATGGATATTCTTCTTGTCTGAAGTTGTAGTCTAAGATAATATGGTTTGGGGGGAGGGATTCTTCTAAAACTCATGTTGGCATCTATTGCATTCTGCGTTAAGAACTTCTAATAGTAGGATTGAGAATATATTTTAGGGAGTTTTTCTATTTGGACATATAGTATATTTTATTCTTGCACAGCAAGTCAAAATTGCAATTATCTTTGCAAAGTTCCAAAGATGCAATAATACCGTAATACCTCAGCACTACCTCAGAACAAGAAAAAGGAGAAAGGAAGGGAACACAAAAAACTAATTTACAGCTTAGCATGAATACCAATCAGCACATTAATATTAAAAATCAAATATTTTTCTGACACAGTGTTTTGCCATATCTTCCACACATCTCAGTCTAAAATCCCTTTTAAGATCCATAAAAATATTATTTACAATCAAATGGATGTTGTTTTATTTTAGATATAGTTTTTTTAGGTTATACCTGATTGCACCACCAAGTGTGTCCAACCACTCCAAATTCTTCTGATTTTTTCACCCTCAAAATAGTGAGCTTCAATCTTCTGAGGTTCCAAAACAACAGAGTCTTTACTTAATAGTTGCTTGTGCTTATTGTTTCCCCATACATATAAATCTCCATCGTCTTAAAAAGAGAGAAAGAATAAAATAGAAATTAAGACATTTCTCTATCATTTAAGGACACAGATATAATGATTAAATGTCATTGCTCTATGCACAAATAGTAAAGAACTTAACTTTAAAAGGAAGCTACAATTCAGAAATGCCAAAGCACAAGAAACGACGTGTAAGTCACATTGTGTGCAATTAGCCATAGTTGCTAATTAAATTTCTCCAAAACCCAAATTGTAATATATAAACCAAATCATCCCCATGCAAATAAGCGCATCCAGGACATACAAACACATAGCCTTGACAACATCAATGCACAATACATACACACAATGCAAGCATAATAAATATTCCTTTGTCGGCTCCTCATAAGAAAAGAGCATACTTATTAAAGGTTTTTGTATTATCAGAAAAAAACCTTTATTTTATCAAGTCTTAAAGGACAGATGAACACAAACTAGGCCACTCAAAAGATGGAGCCATTAGGTACAGTGAAAAGAAAAATTAAATACAAGGTTTGCACTTTTGTCTTTATTGACCAAGTCTTGGCAAGGATTTTTTTTTTCAAAAGTAGTTTGTCATTGCCTTCTTCCCAAGTCTGAGAGAAAGTAACTGTGCCAAAATCACTCAGTTGGCTTTGTCACTAAGCAGGACTAGAAACTTAGGGTCTCCCAGTTTCCAACTTGGTGCTTTTAATCACCACACCAAACTGGGTATCCTCAGCAGGGCTACCAGCCGCCAAAATTCTTTGGCCTTTAATTTCCTGACTTTTATCATTACATTTCACTTATTCTCAGTTCTTGGATTTGCTTATCTAAGTGGTTCAGTTCTGCTTATGAGGAAGAAAAACATGAAAACAGCTAACAAAAATACAGACAAAAATCCACACGTCAAAGTCACATAAACCATATGAAGGACATCTGAGTGTTTCAAAATGGGAGAAGGAAACAGGTGCTTTGAAGACTGAAACACATAAATCATACACTCAGACACTCCCAATGAAACTTGAACTAATATCAGAAACAGAATGTTTTGTATGGTTCAGCCAAGCCAAAGGAATAGGTGCAGACAAGGAAACATACCTGTGAGTGACACAACATGATGTGAGCCGGAAGCTACACTCTTCACTTTGACATTTTCAAAACCTAGGAGAGTAATCCATTTATGTCATAAGTTAAAGAGACAATTCCTTTCACAGAGATTTTCTGTATTACAGCATGTCAAAACAAAAATAAAGCTAAAAAAATGTTAGATATATAGAAAGCATTGCTGCATAGGTCATGTTGGGTTACTACACCACAAGCAAATTTTAATAGATCAAGGGTCACTTTGATATGGCTGAATAGTCTTTAACAATGCAAGCATATAGATTTACAATTAAATTAATTTTCAAGAACCATGACTTGGTTTAAGTTCCTGAGTTGCTACAGGGGCTTGAACAAAAGAAATGTTGCTATTATGAAAACCACTGAAAATAAATTGAATAGCAATAGTGAGGTTTGGGAATGTCCTCCCTTGAACTATAATTCCTGGATTCCCAGGTTTCCTGTAGTGTTGTTCTCCTCCTTAACATGAAAAATGAACGCTAGGTATTCTTGTCATCTGTAAGTTAAATATGAGCCACTATCATGACGCAGCGGTTAAAAAGGCAAATGCTATCTTTGGATATATTAATAGGATCATAGAATCCAAGCCATTGGAAATACTTGTTGATTTCATTGTGTCCTGGTAAGAACCCACTTGGAGTGGTATACCAAAATTCAAAAAAAGTAATAGCAAAATAAAACAAATTCAGAGAAGAGCTACCAAGATAGTGAAGGTTCTGCTATGAAAAGTTAAAAAATCTGAATATATTTAGCTACAGAAAAGACCACAAAGACACAGTTATATGCTGCCCACCTCACTCTGCAAAGTGACTCTGGGCAGCATATATGCACAAAAGCCCCAAACAGGCATCAAAATATCATGTATAGCTTTAAAAAAAACAAACCTGGTACTTTGCAAGGTTCCTTTGCCCTCAAGAAAGAAGGAATATTTTTTTCTTGGCACATTCGCTTTGCTTGCAATGCCATACCAATTCCCCATTGAAATACAGAACCACTTTCTGTTCACACAACAGGAAAACAAATTGTCAAGATTAAAAATTATTCCCCTGATAACAGCCTGAAGAAATACATTAATGTGTCTTATTGATATCAGCTTAACAGTTCACATTTAGCACATAAATTGTAAAACATAATTTAGCCATATACATAGTCCTTTGTGATCATTTGTTCAGCAACTGTTCAAAGTTACAACGGCGCTGGGAAAAAATGGACCTACAACAACCCATTCTCAGAGTTCTGGTCATTGCAGCATCCCCGTAATCAAAATTTGGGTGCTTGGCAACTCGCCCACACTTACAACTGCCGCAGGATCCCATAGTCACTTTCAGCAATACCAGCCAGTCTCAGGCCCCATGTCAGTGGTGGGCCTGTCCCTTCCCCTTGGCACTGCTCCACTTCTCACCACCATCTCTGACCCCAGCCAGGACACCATGGGGCTTGAAGCTCACCAGTGTTAGCAAGCCCAGTGTAGGGGAGGTAAAGGAAACAGGGAGGAATGTCTACTGGGGGTCATGGTGGCAGGGAAAAGGCAATGGCGGGATACAGCAATGTCTTCATCTCAGCCATGCTATACAGGGCAGACAAAACGACAAAGATGGGTGGGGGGAAATAGGCAGTGGGGGAGCTGAAGCAAATACAATTCATTCAGAGCAGTAAAATCAAGTTGCCCTCTTCTGGCTCAGTGATCCCTTGAAAGCATCCCTTGCCTGGGAAAAATCAAGGCTCAGGTCTGAGAAGAACCAAACCAGGAATAGCTTGGATCAGGGTGGGAGCTGTCAGAGAACAGGGTACGTGATCTGCAACTTTCTTTTCTGGCTTCTAGTAAGCACAGCCACTGGGAAAGCTGTGATGTTTCACTCAATAACTACTTCACTTAGTAACATAAACTCACATCCCAATTCGGGTTGTAACCCAAGGACTACCATTAATATTTTCAAGATCCCTACTATGCTCACTGCAACCAGTGAGGGCTATTTTTAGAATGAGTGTCGTACCATCCCAGTTTATACCAGAATGTAATATTGATTTCCAGGCTTTCATTAATGAAACTTATTAAGCAATTTATATAGTTTAAACAGCTGAGAGTAAAAGACTAAAATTATCCTAATTATAAATTCCTTTTAAAAGTCTTTTTTAAGGGATCCATGAAAGTTAAATAATCATCATACAATATATTCCATAAAATACTTGATTTGTATTAGCCTGTCACTGAATATTGAATCAATGAATTATTTCTTAAACACTTCATGTTTTTCTAGCAAATTCACAAAACAATTTCAGCTGCAAAAATTAAACTCATCTGATCGGGTATAGTATTACATCTTTATTATTGTTAATTTCACTATAAAGGTGTTAACTCACCAGCCACAGCAACAGCGTGCCTGAGTCCAGCAGCAATATTTATTATTTTATCCTGTAAAGACTATGAGAGAAGTGAGAGGATGGTGAGAGAAATGTACGGTATATCATAAAACATAATAATTCTATTGAATTAAATACTTGAATTTTCAAATGGCTTTACAGACAGGAAGTATGAAGATAGTATAAAATATCCTCAAAACTTACAGCAAAAATTTAAATCATCTCAGTTTTACAAAACTGCTTTTTTTCCCTCTCTCTGACAGGGAGATTAAAAAGCTTTGGTGACAAAAGCACCAACTTTTCAAGACCTCATACCTTAATCATTGCTGGAATAGTGCATCTGCCTGAAATATCAGGAATTCCCAATTGTCCAAAGGAATTAGAACCACAGGAGAACATTTGACCATTTCCTGAAAGACAGAACAGTGCATTTGAACACCTTTATTGTCTACCTCAAGTCAAAACTATTATGAATTTTCAATGCAATATGCCATGAAATACTTATTTTCTCAGCTCTCTGATTGATTCTAATTGATTCTAATTCATGTAATCATACACATTCCTTGAACCTCATGATATTTACAGGTAGTCCTCGACTTACAACCATAACTGAGCTTCGGAATTAGGTCATAAACCACTACAGTCACTACAGTCATAAGGTAAATTCCCTGCCTTTTTTTGCAATGATCATTAAAAGAACATGGCAGTCCTTAAGCAAACACTGTGATCACTAAATAAACCCAGAAACTGGCAGAATTTTTGCCAGAAACTGGTAGAATCAGAGTCACATAACCGTAGAATGCTGCAACAGGTTGTAAAGCTGACCAGGTTGACATGTGGTCACATAACCATAAGGGCTGGCACAATCATTTGCAACATCCATGGCCATCGTAACTTCAAATGGTCGTAAAACAGGTAATTAAGCAAGGGCTACATGTATATTCATTACTTATTTCTAGTGTGACTTAAATGCAGTGTAAGAACTTTAGAACATTAGAGCGATAAGAGAACGAACAAGAGTGAGATAGAAACTGCAATTAAAGGAACCATATACAAAAACAGAGCCAGCAAAACAGCTGAAAACCAGAACTGAAAAGAAGCCTCCTAGCTGCAAAGTAGTTTCAGAGATTTAAGTTTATAAAGAAATGGTCATTTAACATGTTTTAATTTTCTGTAAGTCACCCAGAGTAATTGACAAGTGAGAGAAAGAAAGAAAGAAAGAAAGAAAGAAAGAAAGAAAGAAAGAAAGAAAGGGTGGTAAAATCAATTAAAGAGAGCTGTTATTTAACTTTGTGCTCTTTAAATGAGCACAACTCACCATATCTTGTCTAACCTAATTCTTGTAATTTTAAAAAGCCAGTATAATTCAATAAATATGAATTACATCTATATCCCATTGGAAGCAACTGAATGGGACTTTTAATACTAATTTAGCTTTATTTTAGAACTTTATTGTTAAATTGTACAACTCTATAAGCACTGGTTGCACAATGAGTACAAAAGTCTTTGTTCATAGCTCGTTTTCTTAATTATTGTGTTTAATTCAGTTGAAAATGGTCTCATTTCCAAACACGCAATAATAGGTAATTTTTAATTTTTTATACAAAATACACAACTGAAGATCTTGGAACCTCTTGGAGGCATACATAGGGTCCAAGGTTTTCACTATATGCAATGATTTGCTTCAATATTTATCCAAGCCTTTGCCAAGATAGAGTGAGACCCATCATTTCATCACGCTTGCCAGCTTTATGTTTTACACTTAACTGGTTTTATTGGAATTCTTTGTTTGACTGTTGTGAGCCATCCAGAATCTTTGAGAGTTCGGTGGCATACAATAATATATTGTAATATATTACAATAAATTATGACAGATTTACCAACAAGTATAACTGTATAATCCCAGCCACAGGCAACTTGTATGACAGGACAGTCACAAATAGAAGAACATAAGGTAAAATGTGTCACATCCTCAGTATGACCAAGTCCCAATTGTCCATCTTTATTCTGGCCACAGAAAAAGATCTCTCCAGTATCTGTGAAATAAACAAACAGCATCAGACTTATCTATAGTGAACGGGCCATATAAATCAATAGATTTAATCATCAGGGGTATATTATGCCAGCACTCATATCACTCAACCTATGCAAGTATTGGGGAGCTGGCTTCTTAGTGGCAGCACATATCTTGAAGAAAATTTATTGGAATTATTTTCCTTTAGACAATTAAAGTCATGCCTATTCATTTGTAGAACAACATCTGCTTTAGGACAATACTGCTTTTGTACTGTCTCTTTGAAATGAATTGCTTTCAGCTTTGGATTCTTTCTATTTTTATTATTTTGTTTTAGGAAAAGTTCTGTTATGTATTGTTCTGTAATTGCTACTGTATGTTCAAGTTTTTATTATCTTATTCAGCATGATATGGCTCTTTGAAGAAGAATGGGTTAAAAATATAATGATGATGACAATTGTGACAAAATTGTGACAAAATATATAACGGATCCTAAGAACCTGGAGGATGGAGTATATCTTTTACAGGAAGAAACAGGGCTGCTGCAAAACATTCGAGACTTCATTGGGGGGGGGTGGTAATGTCAGAAAAAGACTCAAACTAATTCCACTTTAATTACACTAAGTTATGATGAAGAATTGCTTTAACAAACTTTCAAAATTTGGCCACATTACTACTTGCAATAAAGTTCTTTCCAAAAATCCAAGTGGTTCTTGTTTCCTGAGTTTGATTTGTTTTGAAGGGCTAGATAAAAAATGTTGAAGATAGTAATAAGGAGCAGTGCAGCATCATAGCTTTAACTTCCTTTTCTCCATACAATTGCACCTATATTTCAGTTTGTTAAATTATGTTTATAGAAGGAAAGCTTGGATCTATAAACATCATACAAAGATCAAAATGTAGTTGGGACTGATCATGCAGGAAGGATCTACAATCCACAGAACTAAACTTCACAGTACGCAAAGAAATGTTATAGTTGGATCTTTACCGGTGAGAACAGCAGAATGACCTCCACCTCCAGTAATGTTTTTGATACAACTCTGATTAAAGAGAAATGACTTCACAGCCTTAGGCAGGAGCACATCATTTTTATGACCAAGACCAAGTTGTCCATAGCTGTTTGCTCCCTGAAAAAAAGTGAAGGAGAGAAATAGACTTATTTATTTAAACTGATTAATTCAGATATGCCCAAGATATTTGTATTTGTATTTGTCTGTATTTGTTTATTTGTCTATTTGTATCTTATAGACAAATAAACCATACATTGAACTATAGTTATGGTATTTTTAGGAATTGCTTAATGTTAATCTTTGAAATATCCCTTTTTGGACAATCTGTCAGTTCATGGTTATTCAGAGATCATCTTTGCCAGTCGAGAGATCAAATAAAAGCCTTTAGATATTGAATACAGCATTTTGCCCATCACACACACATCTCTTCATTGAAGTTTTACATTTACTAATTTATTTTTGAAAAGATAGTCTTTTAAAACATATGCATTAGAAATTGGCAAAGCTTACACTGAGTTCAATTTTGTTAGCAGAAAGGACTATTATACTTAGATTGCAAAACAGCAGATGGTACCAAGGTGATTCAGAAAATGCTATTTGTTTATCAGGATTCTTACAGCAAAATTCTGGAATTACAAAAGGGAATTTGTCAGCCATACCTAGAAATATTAAGGGTTGAAATGTTCCTTTTCCAAGGTGGTTATTATATTAATGTAAATTTAAGAAAAGTCATATTTTTTTTCTCTTTCTTTTTCCTAGTCATACTTCAATGTGAATTGTGTCATTTACATTATAATTCTTTCAAATTAACACTTTCCTGCTTTCAGAGCAATTTTAAATTTAAAAAATCCTATAAAAATATTTTATATATCATAAATATCTCCTTAGGGAACTCCATCTTATAATATCGGTCATAGTATCACAAATTTTCACGTTTCTCTTCCAATGTTGTTTGTTTGTTTATTCATTTGAGCTTACCTGCAATTCCATTCCACAAAGCAATTTACAAATCCCTCTCCAGTATAAGATAAAAGGAAAGTTACAGCGAACTTTGTGAATAAACATCAAACATAAACCACAGCCAGGAGTATTTTATTTATAATTAATTCTCAGTCAAGGTCTTTTTGAACATCTGAGCCATAAAATGGAGTCATAGAATTAGAATATCTATGCAGGTAGTCCTCGACATATGACCGCAATTGAGCCCAAAATTTTTGTTGCTAAGTATTTGTTAAGTGAATTTTGCCTAATTTTACAATCTTTCTTGCCACAATTGTTAAGTGAATCAATGCAGTTGTTAAGTTAGGAACACGGTTGTTAAGTGAATCTCATTTTCCCATTGACTTTGCTTCTCAGAAGGTCACAAAAGGGGATCACATGAACCCCGGGACACTTCAACACTCATAAATGTGAGTCAGTTCCCAAGCATCTCAATTTTGATCACGTGACCATGGGGATGCTGCAACCGTCGTAAGTATGAAAAATGGTCATAAGTCACTTTTTTCAGGGCCGCTGTAACTTTGAACGGTCACTAAGTGAATTGTTGTAAGTCAAGGACTACCAATATCTAGTCCTCTGAAATGGTAAGGAAAACCAGCTGGTAATTGGCTTTCCTGACCATTTCAGAATACTAGATACTGGTAGACTAAGTATCTCGTAGTAGTAACACGGTTGTTAAGTGAAACTGGCTTCCCCATGGACTTTGTTTGGCAGAAGGTCGCAAAAGGGAATCACATGACCCCAGGACACTGCAACTGTCCGTGTCAGCTGCCAAGCATCTGAATTTTGATCATGTCACCACAGGGATGTTGCCAATGGTCATTAAGTGTGACAAACCATCATAAATCACTCTTTTCACTGTGGTCATAACTTCGGTCACTAAATAAACGGTTGCAAGTCAAGGACTACCCGTACTCCTTACAAAGCAACCCCGAGTAGTAAAGTATTTATTAGGGTAGCAACGGGCTACCGTAATAAAGTAAGAAGCATTGGCCAGCAGGGAGCAGCAAATGCCAAAGCTCCTCTCGCCGCCCGCCTTCCAAGATAATACAGACTTTCTCCCAAAAATGAGGAGAAAGCCTTTGAAAGAGACCTTTCAACTTCTCTCTTAAGAGCATGAAGCCTTCAAAGCATTTGAAGGGATTATTCTTCAGCGACGCTCTTGAATTGCTGCCATTGCAACTATACTATACGAACAATTCAATTTTTTTTCCCCTCGAGTAGCGCTGCTGAATGTGTCGTGAAGCGAGCTCGGCGCCTTTCGAAACCGCGCGATAGCGAAGGCGTTAAAAGGGCTTGTAAATTCGGACTGCGATGTGATTGATGGGTGTCTGGATCCGACAAAGGCGGATCCAGACACCCATCACGGGTGACCAGAGGAGCTTCTTTGCTTCCCTGCCAGCCGTGTGATTATTAAGAGCCGCAGGTGTTTCCCGTTTAGTTTCAACCCAACCGGACAAGCTTAAATTCCTCCGAAAATACAATTTTAAACAAGATCCTGTCACTTTTACTAATGGGTGAAATGCGGGGAAGGGAGGAAGGGAGGGGTAAAAATACTAATCACCGCCCCCGTCTTGCTGCGTGATGAAAAACACACTTCAGACGCTTCATTTACCAAAACAACGACAGGCAGGCAAGCAAAACGCGGGAAGATTTTCCCTTTGCAAAGACAAAAGTCCGCCCCTTTCCTCCTGGGCCGTAGCCTGACCCACGATAGGCCTTTTTTTTTTTTTTCCCCTTCCTTCCCGTGCCCATAGGGAGGCCACTTCCTTCCGCCCTCTTATAGCACCGCTTACGGGGGACCTACCCAAGCGAGCAGGGTTCGCGTTGCATCCCGGCGGCAGACGGCCATAGTCGCCGAAGAAGGCGGAACCACTTGCGGAAGCGTCCGCCTTTCCAGGCTTCTCGCTGCGATTGCAGGAGCCGGTAGTTTTACAGTATTGTTATGTTCAAAGCGAAGGCCGGAGGTTTGTCGACTTAGCCAGGCCGGGCAAGTGGTAAAGAGAGAGAGAGAGAGAGAGAGAGGACTATGGCCAATGCAACGCTGTGGTTTTTTTCCCCCCCCTTCGGCTTTTGCAGCGGTGGCTTGGAGCTGTGGGAGATGTGGCGACGCGAACTCGTGAGAGGAGGGCTGAGCGTGAATAACCAGGAATACGTGGACAAGACATGTCAAAGGAGTTGCTTTGTTCTGTGTGTGTGTGTGTGTGTGTGTGAGTGAGTGAGTATGTGTGAAAGACAAAGTCTTCTTTGAGTGGAGCTCCACTTCTGGTGGACACCTCCATGTTTCTTGCAACAGTATGAAAGTAGTTTTTTAATTTTTTTTTTAATTTTTGATTTATATGCCGCCCTTCTCCAGAGTCTCAGGGCGGCTTACAATGTGCTCAGCAATAGCCTTCATTCATTTGTATATTTATACAAAGTCAGCTTATTGCCCCCACAACTGGGTCCTCAATTTACCTACCTTAGAAAGGATGGAAGGCTGAGTCAACCTTGAGCCTTGGCGAGATTCGAACCTGCAGTAATTGCAGGCAGCTGGTCTTAATAACCAGCTTAATAACAGGGTGCCTTAGACCACTCTACTACCAAGGCTCTTACCATACTTCCCTCTGTGTGTGTGTGTGTGTGTGTGTGTGTGTTTGTGTTTGTGTGTATGAAAGACAAAGCCTCCTTTGGACACATCCATGTTTCTTGGCAGCAGTATGGAAGTAGTTTACTCATACTTCCCAGCCCTTGGATTTGGGGTCATTTCCCACATTTACATGTAAATGGAAAGATGTAAGGGTGAGAGAAAATCTTCACACTGGGATATACAGGTTGGCCTGACTTAAGGACCACAATTGGAAACATCTTCTTTAAACAATATAGTCATTAAGTCAGACATAACATGACTATACATCCTGCATTTATGATCTCGGAGCCTCTTCAGTGGTTTAAGTTCACACTATCACACAACCGTGACTTATCCAAAGTCAGCTGTGAAGTTTGCAAAGAGCCTTGTGATAAAATCAAGGACCAGTCATAAAGTTGTCAGAAGTTTGAACGGCCGCTAAATGGGGCAGTCATTAACCAAGGACTATCTGTATTTTCTAATGTGCCCACTGGTGGTCTGAAAACAACTCTGAATAAAAGTGACTTGGGGCATTTGAATTACAGATGGTTTCACAATTGCAGCATGTGAGTTATCATATTAGAAAGGGTATATTTATTTGGCTTATTTGTTACAGTATTGGGAATCTTTGGTTTGGTTGAAGATATCAGAAGTCAGTATGGTTCTAAAATCTAGTCTGTTTTGTCAGATGGGCCAAATACTATAATAGTTATTTTATTTATTTTTACTTACTTTTTAAATTTGGTTTGCAACCTATCTCACTGCAAGGCTGTCATAACAACACGGTCTTTAATTTATCTCTGTTTGCGCTATAAAGAGGAAAGGAGCTTAAAAAGAACACATGTGTTGACATAATCTCTGGTTTATTTCATCTTCACTTGTCCTAATTTCCCACCTGATGCAACATCTATCAATAGTTCAACTTTATGGCATCCACAATACATTTGTTGTCTGACATATTCATGATGAGCAAGGCTAGCTAAAAAAAATCTCACCATTCAGAAGGTTCTCCTGAAATCAGCTTTCTGACAATAAAACATTTTTCAACTTTCCTGAAGGTCCATCACTGACATTTTGTGTCATTTCAGAAGCTGCAATTTATGAAATATGATAGTGTAGACAGAGAGCTGTCTCTGGTAATAGCTATCTCTGGTAATAGAAAATCAGCAAACAACTGGGAGAATCATTTCTGACTAACAATTTTTCATGAGTTTTGATATAAATAACTGAGCTGATGAAGTGAAATATGTAATACTGAATTTTGGAATTTGGTAATACTTGTTGACTTGTAAGCAAAAAAAACTTCTTGCTGTCATTGTAAGTGCATTTTACAAATAGTATTTCACAATTGCTTTGTTTAGCAAATAGGTTGTCAGAGAACCTGATGTTGCTTAAGGAGAATACAGACTAGCTGGCCCAAGGTCAACCAAAGTTTCCATACCTAAGAGTACTAAAATCTCTGTCTGCCCACTTCTATTCCTGGACCTTAGCTACTTACAGTATGGTGGTTCTCAATGCTCCTAAAGGCTGACTCACAGCAATACATAGTTAATACTTCGCAAAATCTTGTAGCAATAGTCCCGTCTGGACTATTGTAACGCTCTCTACATGGGGCTCCCCTTGATAAGCACTCGGAGGCTCCAACTGGCGCAGAGTGCGGCCGCGCGGGTGGTGATGGGAGCAACGTGGCGCTCCCATGTAACACCTCTCCTGCGCGAGCTGCACTGGCTCCCGGTGGTCTTCCGAGTGCACTTCAAGGTTTTGGTTATCACCTTCAGAGCGCTCCATGGCTTAGGACCTGGCTATTTGCGGGACCACTGCTACCACCAATAGCCTCCCACCGACCAGTACGCTCCCATAGAGAGGGGCTCCTCCGGGTGCCATCGGCCAAACAATGTCGACTGGCAGCCCCCAGGGGGAGAGCCTTCTCTGTGGGGGCACCTACAATCTGGAACGAGCTCCCCCCCCCCCGGAGATACGGAGGATTCCGGATCTGCGTACCTTCCGCCGCGCCCTTAAGACGTTCCTATTCCATCAAGCTGGCCTGACCTAAACTTTTCCTCTTTTTAAATGGGAATTTTAAATTTGGTTTTAAATTGGGGTTTTAAAATGGTTCAGCCAAATTTATTTAATTTGTTTTATCTCTATTTTAAATTTTGTATTTATATGTTTTATTTTATGGCTGTTCACCGCCCTGAGTCCTTCGGGAGTAGGGCGGTATACAAATTTAATAAAATGAAAAAAATGAAATGAAATAGCAGCCAACAAATAGATGAATGACCCAATAAAGGATGTAGTCACAAAACAGTATGTCAAAAAAGGTGCTATTTTGTATGCACAGGCTTTCTGTTGATCAGAATTTGTCATGTCTTTTGAATTAATAAGAGTGATTTGGTGGGTAGGTGGGTAGATGACACTAGGTGATTTTGGGCCAGTCACTCTCTTACCCCAACCCACCTCACAGGGTTGTTTTTGTGGAAAAATAGGAGGAGGAAGGTTGAATATGCTTGTTGTCTTGGGTTATTTCAGTGGTAGGTTGCTCCTGGTTCTGTACGGTTCTTGAGAACCGGTAGTAAAAGTGGCGGGAGGCTCTGCCCACCCTCCCGGACATCATAATTGACAATCTGCGCATGCACAGAAGCTTCTGACATGCACAGAAGCTTCTGACATGCACAGAAGCATGCACACACACATGCTCCCATTGCAAACCGGTAGTAAAGGTAAGTAGAACCCACCCCTAAGTTATTTGTAAAAATAATAAAAGATGGGATACAAGGTTTATGAAACAGGAATATAATTACAACAAACATTAAAATTCTGGTTTCTGTCAAAACAAAATGGTCTGATTAAAAATTGCAACTTGCACTGAACAACTAGGCTCTTTGGTCTGGCTTGTAATACTAGTGTAAACAAATGGTATCAGAGTGTACACGCAGGTAATATCATCTTTCTATCTTCATCCTTTATATCTGCAACTAAATTTGATAACCAAATAAAAATATATTGGAATAAGTCAACTTTTTTACTTGTGAGCACATTTTAACATTTGGGAGCATGTTGTGGGCACTAGAGCTGCAATTAGGAAGCAGCGCCTGTCAATTCACAACATAGCTAGCATGATGGCTTGCTCAGTCATAAAATAAAAAATAAGATCAAGATTCTGGCATACAAAGTAGGTTCTTAGGTACCCAATTTGTACCTAGGTACCTGCTACCCATTGGCACCATGATGAAGAGCATGATATGTAAATTCCACCAATTGTGGATGGTTCAGCAAGTCATGTTTAAGTAAACTATGGCTTAGCATGATGTTCAAATTCAATCACAATTTCCCAAATTATAAGCGCTGTATTCTATTTGATATTATTCATATAGAAATGTAATAGGCAAAAATGGAAGATGCTGTGCTTACTCAGAAACAAATATATTGTAGTTAGTTATCCTTAGAAAGAAATATTACATTATTGAATGCAATAATACCCATTGTAGTCAACTGATGTTCCTGCTAGGTAAATATGTATATGGTTATAGCTGTGGTTTGGCAACTAAAAAAAACCAGAACACACGCTTCTTGAAATAGTTTTAAGGTTTTATTGCTCCTTCCATAACAGCTAATACTAGCTATCATTGGATGCACAGAACAGTGGACTATATGGACCATTAGCCTTTAAATGTAGCATTTCATAATATATTCTATCAATTTTTCTAGATAAATTATTTCTACTTTCTTTTCAAATAAATGAGAAAGGGCCTGAAAAGAGGAGGGAAGAGTGATATGTAAACATTGATATGAATCTTCCAAGAAACTATATTAAAACAAAAATATTTTCCTTTCATTGATCATTTTGGGAAGAAGCATTCTGCATGAAGCACAAAAGCAGTATTATCTTGCTAGAATGTGTATGTGTGGGGGGGATCCACAGCTACCGAATGCAGAAAGGTTGTTAGACAGGTTAGACTCCCAGTTACTTGTCCATCTTGCTGAGGGCCTCACTGACAACGTCCAGTTCATGCCGTAGCTCATTCACCACATGTGCAATACTTCGTGGATCTTTCAGGATCTGAACGCTTTGGGTATATGGATTGTAACTCACTCCAAATGGGCGTTTGATTGTCTTTGCAAACTCTCTGTTAAGATAAGGAAAGAAAAAAAGAATTAATTGTCTACATAGTGGCAGTTTCAGTCAATTATAAACATTTAAATAGCTTAATAATTGTTCTACCACTGTTTCTAATCTATTGAATGATTGCCATTAAAGAGGAAAAAGCGTGGCAGCTGTACTGTGGACCAGAAATAGACAAACTAATGGCCTCCAGATGTTTTCAACCCCAATCAATAGATCCAGTGGCAAGGGATTATGGGACCTATAGTCAACATTTTCCTGCTTTATTGTGACCAGTGCAGAAATAGTGTCCCAGGAAAAGGGAGAAATAGTCCACAAATTTGTCCTAACTTGGAAAAAGATAAACCCAGAGAAATAACTAAAAAA